CTGCTAGTACCCCTGCAGCGTTGCAATCCTCGCCTGCCATCGTCCGGAATTGCCCGACAAGCCCATGCCACCCGTTGTTGACGGGGCTTTCGCAAGCGACGAAGCGCGAAGGCCAGAGAACCGGCGCTCAATGCAACGCGGGTACCGAGAGCATCTGCAGAACATGAGACATGTTGAGGTGGCGGGCGTGGGTGAAGACGGTGAAGATGCCGTCCAGCAGCTCGCCAGACCTGCTTGCAGGGCTTGGAATTGCTTGGTAGCTCTGACCACTTTAAGTGCAATATCATTGCAATATCTTTGGCTTTAAGGAGGCCTCCAAAGAGCAAGCTGGATGCAGTATGAATGATGCTCCAGCATCCATGACATCCATGGCCACGACGCTGGCAACTACTGCATTTTTGCTGAGGACCAGTTGACTGGTATGTGCGAGTGTAAATTAACCCGGACATACCAGCATTTAAGGTCCGGGTTTGCTCAACGTCCAAACCGTCAGTACCAAATGCTGAAGATACCAATCACACAAGCTGCTAGCGTCTCATTCAACACAACTTCTCGACTACAAGACTTGACCTGACATGCGGAGCTGCGTCTGAGAAGAACACGATCATCGTACTTTGGGAATGAAGGAAGCGCAACATGCGTTGCGGTGTTTTCCACGTTCATCACGGCGATGGGTCTCCGGTAGCTTCCTGCAAGCAGTCGCAACAATCCCGGACATGGCTAGCGCGATGCTCGCACGTCTGCATTCCTGAGGATAAGATTGAAGCTGCCCGCAAAAACTGCCGGCAGGCAAACATGGAGCCGAACTGTCGTGAGGCACGCTGTCCTCAGTGTCGGGACTGCTTCGGCCCTTCTCCGGCGAGGACGCATCATTTCCTCCCATTCTTGTTCGCTCGTGTAACTCATGCTTGCGCAGGGCTCCTGAAACAAGACATCGCAGCAGAGAGGCAAGCCTTCAGGAACGTCGCCCAGAACAGGACGTCCTGAAGATAGCGTTAAGAAGATGATGAAAATCAAGAGCTTAGTTTAAAGGCTTGATTGAGTGGGATGATGTGGGTTGGAAAGGGTTTTCCATGGCTTGCCACTTGCATGGGTTCGAGACGTGCAGTGCACGTTGATAGTACGCCGGCAGCCTCGCAAGTAGCAGCTTTCAAACTATGGTCGGACCAACGAAGGTGTTGGTGTCCTTCGTCATCATCCTTTCTGCTCCTCGGCACGAAAGCCGTGGGAGCTCGAGTCTGGACATCATGCACTCGATGAAAGCATGGCCATCTGACGCCAGACTTGCGGACATCTGCTCCCGGTGCTTCCGAGGCGCTTCCGCTCTTTGCGGCGCTCTTTGTCTCCAAGGCTGTGCTTTGATCGCCTGTCAATGATTCACTTGATCGATCTCTGAACCATCTCTCGCACAATTGACAGCTAGCCCCACGCCGGGGTAATTACATTTCGGCTCGCTTCGGCATGGCTCCTACAGTCCCGGGATCGAACCGCGTTGCTAAGACTTGGTTAACACCTGGACATAGGAACCGAGCCGCCTGCGACCCAAGGGCAAATGACTTCACATCAGTTCCAACGTGCTCGTGCTCAGGCTGGTACCCCGATCGGGAAGAAGCACCAGATCGCGCCTGTGGACGGTGTGACAAGCCCCGGAGAGAAAATAACACAGGGCAATGCCATACCAGGTTACTAGGGACTAGGCATACAGATAATCACAGATACACCCCAGTCCATAGGTCATTGCAAATTTTGATTCAGACTTGGCATCCCCATTTTCAACATGCCGCGGAGCCGTGTGATACGAGCGGCAAGTCGATGGCTCTGGAACTTCCCCCATATCCTGTGCACGATGCAAAGCTCTCCAGCACACGTGTCAAAGTGCTTGGCAAAGCAAGCAAGCAACAAACACGCTTTACAATTTTCCCCGTGTCAACGCTCGGATGGGTGTTGGGGGTACGAAGAACTTTCTCATTGCTCAATCAATTTTCAACTCTGCGGCTGCAGGATGAAGAGAAAGGGAAAGCGGAAAGAGAGAGAGAGGGAGAGAGTGAGGGAGGAAGGGAGAGAGGGAGAGGGCAAAGCTTGAAACAAGAGAGAGAGAGAGGGAGAGCGCCAGAGCGAGACAGACTCAGACGGTCGGAAACCAATCCTACTGGAAGCGTATGCAATCTGCCAGCATGACCCCAGGCCAGCCAGCGAAATCCAAGCAAACAGCAGCAACCTCTAGAATGCACCTTGGCAGCCACTTGCTCCACTCTTAAGGCGACGTTCACACGGCCTGCCCCTGGTAACTCTTGTCTGGCGGGACACATGCACCCCGTCCAATTTCGTGAGGGGGTCTGCTCTTTCCGAGAGCCGGGATTTAACCCCTCAGAGTCGGGACAAGCCACCTCACCCCTCAATGGTCCGGGACGAGTAGACGCCCCTCGTGACCCGAGACCAGCAAGCAGAAGCGAAATCCAAGCAATCACCGCGAATGTAGAATGCACTTTCTGTAAGGAGACAGAGGCTGAGGCGAGCGAGAAGGATTTCAATTTTCAAAAGCAGAGTGCGCTCGGACGCTGATACTGCCTGCTGTGAATATGATGCTGCAAATTTCCGGGTTCCAGACCTACAGTTGCTTATCGCAATTGAACTCTTGCCGATGTTCTACACTACTGTATCCTACACTCCATGTCGCTGCCGTACAACTCCTGCCACTGTTAGGCCCAACAAGGGCAACGACAAGGTCGAAAACAGTTGACTTGCATTGACTTGCCAAACACTAGTGGCACAAGAAGGATAATGTCTGACCCAGAGCAGAATGAACAAGCTTCAAGCTATTCAAGCTTCAGGCTTCAAGCCATATCCAGCTTTCTCACTTCAGGGCAGCCGTGGTGCACGCTTCCTTTAAAGCAAGAATCCCGCCTGACTGGAATTGGCAGTCAGACAAGTCAGAGGTACAAATCAATAAAGCTAAATACAGTAATAAAACAATATATGTCTAGATATGTACACGTTTGAAGGAACACTAAGAATCCTGAATGTCTCCTGTCTCGTTGCAGCGGTGGCGAAAATACAGCCTATAATAGGCACGCGAACAAAGCGCAAAGCAACAAACAAAATCCTGAAAAAAGCAACTAAGCACGTAAAGCGTGTGTCTTGTGAATCTGCGGATCTGCTGTCCGGTCTTCCAAAATGGCATTCTTCTTTCTGCCCATCCCAAGCAAAAAGCACCCGGCCCTGGGGCACGACATCATGAAAGGCCAACTCGCTCTCATCGACATCGGGTCCTTCCGCAAGTTGCCCAGCTCCAGTCTCAGCACCTTAAGCGCAGGACCAGCATGGGACCAACCGCTGAAGTGCACGTTCTGTCCGACTGGCAGGCCTGGAGCATATCTGGACCTGTCAGGAAAACACGTACAGTAGGTATTAAACTGGCTCATCACGTGTCTGAGAGGCCATGTCACGCTTGGGGGCCAACGACGTTGAGGAGCTTCGCCAGTTGGCGCTACCTCCAATTGATCGTGAAACAAGACATGACAAACAACTCCTCTCGTGTCCAAGAGTGAAAACCATGCCACCGTCCTGCTCCGACAACAAGTACCTGCTTCTCGTGCCATTCAAGCGTTCACTTACCAGCTGGGGTGAGACGCACTAACATCGCTTTGAACATAGGGCAATCAGGAAGGGGGCTTGGCAGACTGCCGAAAAGCATTTTGCACAACCTCCATCGCGTTACAGCACGGACCGCAAAGGTCCATGCAGGCGGACAAGGCACGGTTGAAGACCTCAACAAAACCTAGGCTCCTGTTGCGCAACCTAGCTCTCAGGGACTAGCTTTCGTGATACGCCCTTTTTTCGGGATTTTAGGAAGTATATTGGTCTGACCAAAGTGAAAAGTGGAAAGTTTTCTGAAAAAGTGGAAGTGCACAGTGGAAAGCGTAAAGGTGAAACACGCAACACTGTAGGTCGCGGATATGGGGGTAGCATATTTATGTGTATATATATATATATCTATATATCTCCGCCGGCCCCAAGCCGGGGCAGCCTGCACCGCTTCGCCAGCCCGTCCCCCCTCCCCACCAACCCGTACCAGATATAGATTTAGATTTAGAAGGCTTCAGCGCAGACCCAAACCCACACGGCCCGCACCAAATGCTTGCGCCTCTCATGTAATTGCTGTGGATGATCAAAACGGGGCTCCAGCACCCACCACCTTTACGCCTGCTGTGGAGCGCTCCGCACCAGTGTAATTGCCACTGCTGCCTTGAGCGCTGTGGATGAATGAGTGTAAAGGGCTCTCCACCTGCAATTGCCACTGCTGCTTTGGGTGCTGTGGATGAGTGAATTTAAAGACTCCGTGGGGTTTTTGGGGGTCGGCGGCACGGGCAGTAGCCGTTACATCATATATCGCTACAATATGTCTATATGGGCGTAGGTTTCCATTAGGGACCCTATGGATACTGTAGGGAGTAGAAATTCCTCCCTACCCCCCTACTTACTAGCAACGGGAAATTAAGACTGGGGCTCCACTCAGAGGTCAGATGCTATAAGAAACTTTGAGTGCCTCCCTCCTTTCTCAAAGCAACAGCACCTGCATGCACCTGTCAGCACATTTCGGAAATCCGCCGAGGCCTCGGGCCGTAGGTGTCTGGGTAGCATAAAGCAGGCCACCTCTAGTCCCCTCCGTTGGCATCTATTTTGGCCGGAATGGGTACCCCCAGGACCACGGGCTAGTTTGGGCTGGGCCACCCCTACCTTTTCCCCTTTTCTCTCCTAGCCCCCCACCCCCCCCCCTCCCCCCCTCGGTTTGTTTTTGTGTCCGGACGTCGCCGTTCGGAGTCCTTTTGGCCCTCAGAGCGCCTTCGTGGTTTGGCACGTGGGCTTGAGAGCTAACACCTCAAAACCCCAAACGTCAACACTGTAGACCTGATGCGTTCCCAGGCACTCACCTCAAACCCCTCTGCGGGCATCTGCGGGCTCGCCGCGCCCGAGGCAAGAAGCTACAGTGCCCTGGACACCTACGTGACCCTCTGCAGCTGCGGAGCTTCCAGGGGCTGTAGTTGCGCGTACCACATGATCACAGGCTCCGCTGGGCCAGGCCGAGGCGGGTCGCGTAGCGTTAAAATTAAAGTCAGTGATTGTCGACGAGGCCTCTCCAGCACCGCATGGCGTGTTTGCAACTCGTGTTCCCACTCTGCAATGGGACTGTTCCAGGCACTGACCTGGCACAACAGCGGCTAAGTGCTCTTGACGATTTCTTAGTGTCAAGCTTTGCCACCTTAAGACGGTCGCTGTAGTAGTACTCACCCTGATCGGACACGTATGGCCCGCTCCAACCTGAAGGAAGGAAGTGCCGTCAGAAAGACAGTGGGCAGAGTGGGGGTCACAGAGAGAGTAAGTGCTAGGTCCCTAGGCGCTAGGGAGGCAGGGGGAGAAGAAGAGAGAGAGGGAACAACATGGCGACAAGAGTGGGGACGTGGCCTGCCAAGTCGGCCTTTGCGGCCTGCCCACAATCTCGCGTCCGTCGCACTGTGGAGCTGACTATGTGGGGCACATTGGGGGCGTGCTTAGCATTCGCGGATGCTTGCTCGGAGTTGTATTGCATTTATTGCAGAGCCTCGATGCCTCGATGCCTGGACTCTGGAGGGCGCCTCATGCCTCTCGCGCAGATGCTCCCGGACCTCAGCACTGTGATGCCAGTGCGACAAAAAATCGCAAATGGTGAAAGAGGTATGGAACACGAACTCACGGCGTCTTGCAGCCGCTGTTCACCGCTCATCCGCGTCTCATTTACTTGCAACACTGTGCCAAAAGCATTCAGCCATGACCCAGACCATGTCCTGGCGGCGCGCCATGCCCTCCACGCGAGCCTGCCAGACTTCGCCACTCTCTCTACGAGATGTTGTACTCGCGTGCAGTGGCCGGGCAGGAATCGGGCAGGAATTGCGCAGGATTTCTTTTAGGTCTACTGGTAGCACATGTTCTGCACGGGTTTGACAAAAGCAAGCGGAACATCGAAGTAGGCACGTCTACAAGCTGCACGCAATTGCGATGTCTGTTTGTCAACGCTGACGGGTCACAGGCAAAGTCGCTCAGTCGGAAGGCTGTTTTTACATGACGTTCCATGCTTCGCTTGCGGAACCTTCCGGATCAAGTCGATGAGGCTGCGGTAAATCTGGTCTGCTGGATGCTCCCAGGTCGAGCTGCTGGCTCCTGTCAGCTGTTGATTTCCTGATGTTTACTGAAAGTTTACTGGCTTGTCAGGGTCAACTACACTTGAGCAAGGAACGCTGGTTGAAACACTTTGTTTGCTTCGCAGATGCCGGCCATAAGGACTCAACGGCTAGTGTCTGCCTCGCTTATGTGTTGTCGAAGATAAACTTCTACTTGAGTTAACCTTATGGAGGGGCTGTCATGTCCCTGCAATGCTGAACGAACTACTGAATGCCCTCAAGTCACAATCCATAAACCCACCCAGCCCCTTGCGAGCAACCGGTCAACCCGACAGTGGAAGGATACAACAGTAAGCGTCGTACCCCAAAGCCACGTCCATTCTAGAAGCTTAAGACACCAGGGCTACACCAACAGCTGGCTGGGGATAGCGGCTGCGATAGTGATTGCGATATCCCCCGGCAGCTTGCACCAGCAAAGCACAACACGTTCACGGCTTCAACAAAGGCCAAAGAACAGACTGTAGCGGACGTTTTCAACAATCTGCATGATCCTCTCTGAGAAACCAAGCGCCGCACCCTCCTTCACATAGTACGCTCGTCCCGACCTTGGGGTTCAACTGTTCACGCTGTGTATCTCGCCCCCACCGAATGCAATCGCGGTGGCAAAAGCATAGCAGGTTCGCCCTCACGTTTGCAAACATTTTCGCTCTTCGAGCGGCCGAGCGGCTCGTCCATATACTCCGTCCAACTCGCTGGGAGTGGTGCGTTCCAAGCCTGGTGAAGACACATGTCAAGACCTTTGGCTCGATTAGTCTGAGTGACATGCACTGCAGTCGGCACAGCTCTAATGACCAGGCCTCTTGAACAAGCTCTAAGCAGTCCTCGCTCTCTAAGTCGACTCCGAGACTCAAGCCATACCTGCCAGAATCGATGTGATTTGGGCACTCCACCGGCATACCATGGCACAGCAGCGGAAGATGGTGTGAGATGTGCCGCCGGAACAAAGCAAACACACCGTCTTGTGTTTCCCTTCGCCAGCATTTGCGCAATCATTCAGTAGCTGCGTAGCTCAGTTCAAACCCCCGCGCACTCATGCAAGTCCCCATACAGGATGCATTCAGACCCCATCGTTGCGACGGCATGTGCAGGTGCCTTGGAGACTGCTCTCATCAATCTGTTCTTTGGGACAGGGCGTCCTAGTAGGGCGTCCTATGGATGGGGTGCTGGCAAGCGGAATCTGCTGGTAGTCACATGTGCAAAACACCTTCAAGGCCTAGAGCTCTACTCAGGTTTGCAAACAGAGGCGGCAAAGGTGCTGTCGTCGTAGAGAAGGAGATGGCAGCTGGAGAGCCTCATCGGCTCACTCTCGACGATTCTTGCCGAACAAAGCGCCCGCTTGGGTCTTCAAGCATGGACTGGCCGCTCACAAGTGCAGCATCATGTCTACAATGGATACGGCACGGACACACTCCAAGACCTTCAAACCGCTAAGGTCGCTGCCAGGGGAGCCTGCAGGTCAGCTTTCAGATGGCACATGAGTCACGAGAGTGACATTTGGAGAGACCCCTGATCTCGAAACGACTTCTGACCTCGTACCTCATGTTTCCGTGTGGCTTCGATCAGATTTGTGCAAGAAGCCTTGCCTGTGCCACCATCTTCCGCCATTTGGAGCCGCAATGTAGCACAATGTGCTGACTCACTCTACAAGTCAGACGGATCTGCCACAACTCATGGTACATAGAAGGAAAAAGAAGGCTTGCCTGACGACGAGTAGCACATACATCAGAAGACTAGTCCGGCTGAATCCTGCTAAGCTTCGGAGAGAATAGTGGCCTAATGCCAGATCCTTATTTTCAATGGCTTCTGCTGCTGTGCTTGAAGCTGGAACTTGAGTAAGACTGGCGGAGCATTCGCGCCAAAGCAAGCCAGCAGTCATCAACTTTGCGGCTGTTGTGCGGGCATGTCAACGCGCAGCAATCGCAAGAACTTCGCGCTAACTGTTGTAAGCCATACAGCAAAGTTTCCGTACAACAATTGCTCACGGAGCGGCCATGTCCTCGAATTGAAAAGCATAATCACCCGTCAGCTTGCATTTTTTGCGGAGAATGTATGGAGCATACGTATGTCACAGTAGGTGAGTATGCTTTGACTCTGGCTACAGTAGAAACCTAAATGGATTGGAGGCCCTAGTCAAGCTCATGTGAGATTTGCAGCTCCCTGCAATCTCCAAGGCTTTCAGGGAGGCTCAGGGAAGCATCAGATCGTAGTCAGCACCTTGACGCGACATGTTCTTCTGAAGGCTGACGTAGGCTCTATAGGCTGGCGATTGTGCTCTTCACTTACGTTCGCTTCCCATGCCTCAGCATCGTGACCTTGACCGTCAGCTCCTTCTCCGGCAGTACCAGCGTCTGCGTGGCCCGCCTGACTTAGACTTCCTCTCATGAAGCCATTTGGTCAAGTGCGCAGGTTGACTTGAACGTTGCTGCTTCACGCCGAAACCAACCTCGTCGCCATCCTCGCCCTCACCCACCTCCTCTTCAGGTGCCCGAACCTTCGGACAAATGCCACAAGCTCAGCAGGCTGCCGGCGTACGTTTCAGTGAGCGCCGATGATAGCTTGCACACCACTGAAATTCGTCCGCCGAAGCCAAGCAAGTGCGGTCCCCACCCGCGGACTGCCAAGGACCGCATTTCTGAATTTCTTGTGGCTTCAGTTGCTCCGAAGATAACAACAGGCTTTTTGCGTCTTGTGAAGCTCATTTGCGGGGTACGGGTCCCGTGGAAGCTGCCAAGCACTGGAAATCACTGGAAATCACATGAAATCACTGAAGCGAACCGCACTGCCCGGGCTGCGCCTCAGGTGAGCCCCCAGTGCGTGATGGTTCAACTTATTTTTTTAACAATGGCACTAGTCGCAGGTTCTTCATCGTCCAGAGTTTGCATGGGAGGGCAATGGAGGGCACCTAATACTTCCCTGCGTGCACCCTGAACTACTTTCGCGCACTCGTTGTGTCAGCGGTTCTCATTGCACGCGCCGGTTTGCATGGTAGCTTCGCCTGCATCAAGTGGTTACAATCGCCATGAAAACATCGCGTTGAGTTGATGTATCTCGACACTCCAGGCATGCTAGCTGCTGTAGTACACACCTTTTCAGCATTCCGACGCTCCAAACTGACAGCATCGGGATTGCGGGGCACCGGACCATACGCCCACAACAAAGCCATCGCACACGTGCACCAGTCACATCAAGCCATGACAGCAGTAAGACCCATGCCAACTGGCCTACTACCAACATCTACCAACACTTACTGGACCGAGAGTTTGTTGGCTTGGGCTGCTGCCCAAATGATCTGCTTTGTGGGCGGCGATCCCTGCCAATACTACAGGCAGAAATCAGCAGAACACAAGCGCCTACATGTGAGTGTCAAGCACCTGCGCAGGGTTCCACTCAACTCTGTCCACCTGATTCCAGGAAAGCACTATGTGGCAGTTTAGGTCTGGGATGATTCGCCTCGGCGTCCAACCGAGAAGCGTCTAGAACAAGCAGACCATGATCTGGCCTCCTATGGTCTCCTTTCCCCCTGCCGAAATCCGATGCCCAGGCTGTGGCCGCGTAGAATCGCGTAGACACCCTGAGACCCCCTAGCTGCCTTGCATCCTCACCCTTACTAACCCTTGAATCCCGAGGCCGCGTTGGGCCAGCCCGGCTGCCGAGGCGGCGCGCGTAAGCATTTGCAATTAAGAGGGTGGTGCAAACTGATGTTGAAGCACGTTTAGGATCGTCCGGTATGCGCATCCGAGATGCCAAGGGAGTTCTGGAGAAACCCGCTGAGCACTCAAGTCACATCAAATCACAGCTCCGTGCTCAGCCTGCTCCTCTGGAGGAGGCAAGGCACTGAAATTCAGGTTGTGCCAGAATCTGAGCAGCCGAGAACGAGGCAACGTAAGTGCAATGCTGTGCCGACATGCTATGCCCCCCTATGCTATCCGATGCTACCCTGCCTTCTCGCGTCCCAGCAAAGCTCGCCGCCGTAGACGCTCAATCTGCATCGCTGCTGCTGCATTCACCACAAAAACCAACAAACGCGTTTATTGGTGGTGCATGATTACTGTACATTAAAACCGCGTTGAACGTTGTGCTTTCGCTTGCAAAAAACTCTGATGGACGATTTAGGCCAGCAAATGCACTGCTTAGGTCATGGCCGATTTCGGAACGTCCTTGCGTTGTCACCGCCAGATACTGCGCAAATACCGCCCTGTCACTTCATCTCTGCAAGGGGTGCAGAATGGTGAAAATGTCATCTGTGTTGTCATGTTCAAACATGTTCACATTATGGGTCTGGCCCCTTTCCACTCTGATTCCTTGACCTTGCAACAGCTTCCAGCCTCTACGACATAGCTTATGCTTGGATCTTCCTCGTCGACCCATTTTCCCTGCAAAAGATGGGGTGGGAAAAGTGCTGCTTGAAGGCATGCACGCCCAGACATAACCACAAAAGAGCCTGAACCCTGTCCAACAGGTCTTTCTCAAAACGGAGCTGGGCAGAGCGTTGCGCCTGCTCTGCAATGCGACGATTAGTGAATCGCAAACGCAATGCCCGGGCGACATCCGTCGGCCTGACTGATTGCCGACTGGTCCCGCTGCTTTGCTCGGCGCCTCACTGACATCTTGTTTCACTGCCTAGGAACTTCTATGCTTCTTGACGGACTGGTCAGTCAGACCTGTCTTGAAGGCACAGTGTTTTTCAGCAAGCATGTCCTGCTATTTTCCCAGCATGAAGCTTTCACGAACATCTTCTGTTTCCACCGCTCCCAATGCAAGGCCAGATGAGCAGACAGATACCGCCGTTTTTTTTTGTTCCTCTTGCTTTAGATCTCTCCTGCGTCGCTCCCAGAGTTACTGTACTGGGCAGCTTTGATGCTCCTCCCCTGTTCCTCCTTGCAACCTTCGGGGGCATCTGCGGGGCAGTCTTGAGCTTTCGGGTGGCACCGACCCCGCCACTCAAATGGACTGAAGTGCGGAACACTCCCTCGCAACACTGTCACAATACCGACAATACCATCTAAACCTACAAGTAGGCTCAGAACCGTTTAAGTGGAAACCCAGTGCAATGTCCAGCTCAGCTTCTGGCTGCGCAAGCTCAATCTGTCGACGAGGATCACCTTGTCTCTCTCCCTCTCTCTCTCTGAGTTGCAACCCTGTGCACGGCTAGCCACTGCTAGTCACTGGTCAGAGGCCGTAGCTGTCATCCCAATCGCGGGCCTTGAGAAAATGGGCGTTGAGCCCTTTCAAAGCGATGTGCAGTTGACGGCCGGAGAGGGCAAAGGCACGGGCTCCTTTGTAGTAGCCCTTTCCCTTACCCTTGCCTCTGCCTGGCAATGCATTGATTTACGTCATTTACGTTGGTCTTTGTTGGTTCCTCTCTTCATGATTTTCGTAAAAAACAATCATTATGTGCTTGTTGGCAGATCCGTTGCCTCGACCCCGGCCTTCACCTTTTCCTGGCGATGCCAATGGGCCAAGATCACAATGGCTACAATGACATGGCCAATACTAACGGTGCGCCTTTGCCAAAGTTCGGCACCTGGGAGAACCAAAAACGCTAACTGCAAGCCAGGCTCATGCAACTGCAGGCCCCCAGCCCATGTGGAGCCAGCCTTAAATCGACAATGCTTTTCATTCCGCACACCAGACTCCCGCATTACTGCCACAACACAACTGCACCGCCGGACCTGAGGGTACATTCCAGACATTCCAGACATTCCAGAATAAGCACCGAATCCATCAGCATAGCCGCCATAACCGGCGTAACCTGCAAGCATTGTTCCGAGTTATGTACGACCGTGGCCTTTCCTCAACATTCAATGTTGCTTCTGTTTGTTAGCTTTCGCCTGGGAAGCGTCCCATCTGAGCCTGCGCACGACGCAAAGCGGCAGCGCAAGCCCACTCACCAAGCTAAATCACAGGCCGAAACAAATCACCTGCTTTGGTGGAGGGCTTCTTGAACTCATTACTCGATCAACCTACGCTCTCCTCTCTGCAGTTCAGCCTGGCGAAACAAGAGTCAAAAATGTCAAGCAAAAAGAGTCAAACAACGTTCTCGAAGCGTGAGCATGCGAGGTGGGAGCTTCTGAAATAGATGGTTTCGGCTTTCGGTTTTTCTTCCTCGAATATGGTTGGGGTGTTTTGGGGGGTGTACTACGGCCACGTTTTTTTGAGGGAAGGGGCTTTTAACGATAAGCCTGTCTCTACGTTCAGAGTGTCCAGCATCGAGACGTCTGGGAGACACATGGCCGGAGACAACTGTCGCAGACGTGCGTTACAGTATTCGAACATTTGGGAGGCTCATCGGAGGAGACAACAGTCCCAGACACCGCGTCACAGCATTGTCACACCATCCAGCTTGGAGACATCTGGGTAGACATCTGGGAGACAAACTTGTGGGGGACGGGCAGAGAACGAAAGGTAGTGAGGGCCCCGAGAAGATGCTGGCTCGGGGGCGTGAAGCGTGGCTGCTGGTTGTGGATGTAGCTTCTCTAGCTGGACTGGGCATCAATGCGAAGCGTATACAGGATCAGCACTTAAACAAGGAAGGTCACGAAGTAATGCAGACCGCAGAAGAGACGCGCAACCGTGCTGCACTTTGTGTCATGTTGGCAACAGTTCACGAGCAGACGCTTGCAGGGACATCCCATGCACCATACTCAAGGCCGCCCTTGCTCAGGGTAGGCAGGGCTGCTCCAAAAGTTGTCGCACTTGAAGGCTTAGACCGAGCTATATGTGCAAAGAGAGCTGTTCAAAAGCACGTCACGGTAATTTACTTGCGGAAGCCTTGCATACAGCCCTTGTGGGTTTGCTATTTTTTTTGTCTTGAGCCGGAGTGGCGCTTAGCCTAAGCGCCCCGAACCTTTATGAAGGCAGACAAGCGCCTTGAGAACCTCAAAAACGAGGGGCTGGGGCGGGGGGGGGGTGGGCAGCCCCAATTTGCACACATCCTAGCTGGACCCCCTCCCCACACCCTGTTGTACAACCTCACGGTTGGTAAGAGACTCGGCTAGCTCCCACGGGCGGCTTTCGTGACTTTGTAGACTACTGCCGTGAGATCCAAATGTGCATCACAGACACCTGTCTTAACAAAACCCATCGAACCCCCAGCTAGAGCAGTTTGGGGAACCAAGCCGAAACCTGTTTCAACATTTTGGTCGAAACGAATCTGGCTCACGGGTGGCACCTGTGACTCCCGTGTCTGCTCGCTTTCCAGAAAGGATAGAAATGGGAGACAACAGTCCCACACACTCGTCACTGATCACTTTACAAAGGGATCACAGCATCCAGCACCGAGACGTCTGGGAGACAATCGGGAAACAACGCGGTCGCAGCATCCAGTGTCGAGACATCTGGAGACACTGGGGAGACGATGACAGTCCCACCAGTCCAGCGTCGAGACAGTTTTTGTCTTCCAGGGAAACCCTAAAGAAAGGTGTCGCATTCCCGTCTCAGGCAGTTGCTAGCACGGGTTCAAGCAAAAGGGAAACCCTAAAGTAGGTGCCCTTTCCGCGTTTGTTAGGGGATGTCGGGGGCCTTGCTCCTCGAGAAAGATCTCCACGGAATCTGTTCAGTAAAACTACATTGTAATGAAGGCCCTGGAGAAAATCGACGAGCTAGCAGCTAGCAGTTGAACACGACATGAACCATGAACATCATGAACAAAGACACAAATTCTGGGCATGGGGGGAATCCTGCATGTCGCCGGTCTGCGAGGAGCGCGCGTTGAAAATCGGTCCCAGCCTCACGTTGCAGTTGCTTGACGCCTGCTGCAGAACAATGTGACAATGTGGCTGCATGACACCTGCCTCCGCAAGCCAACTGTGGACCTAGTTCGCGCGTCTCTCAGCGAGCCAAGCTGAGCCAAGCTGGTTGCAAGCAGAAGCAGAAGTGTCAGTCAGATGCCCAAGTCAAAGTCATGTGCCATGGAGGCCGTCTTACGGCATTGTTAAACATGGTGCAGTAGAGCTGCAGCAGCGTCATGAACTTTTTCCGCGATCCTTAATTTGCCTTGCACTTGCAGTGCCAGGTGATGGTGCTGGCATGTTCTGGCGCGTGCAACGGTTGTCAGCGCGCCAGTTCTGCATCCAGGAACCAGATCTCGCCTAGCAGCGACCCAGCTTGAAGGCCAAGCGCGTTCAGGGACGTTCAGGGTTTAGGCGTTTCATCTAGCAGAATCGCTAGCAGGATCTAGCAGGCATTGACAGCCAGAAGCTTTTTGCACGTCATGGCATGCATGCAGACCTGCTGGCTTCACCATGGTAACTGACTTTGCCCCAGCTGTTTTGGTGGTGGCATCATTTCTACGATGTGAGAGTGGTCTGCCAGGAAGCTTTGCCCACACTTCCGTTCTGAAGCTCCCTGATCAACCAACTGCGAGAACGATCAGCTGCAGAAAGAGTCTTCAAGCTGGATTTCAGCACACTTAGCACGCTAAGAGGATGGCTTTGTTCCAGTTGTTAAACCCTAAACCATAAACCCTGGGCTGTCAGCTGCCATGGCTGTTATCTGCACCCACAAAAAAGGCCGGGGTTCACACAGTGACATCCCTTCAAGTGCAATACTAGTGCAATCCAGTGGAAGGACATGGTGAGGGCCCATCCGCTATCCACCCACACCTGCCCCAGTCACGGCTCGTCATGCTAGCGAAAGGTATGCTTCATCAACCATGAAGAGGTCGTTCTTTCTGGCAACCCCCTTTCCTTAGTGTGTTTCTTGCATGATTGCTGCACCCTGCAGGGGCACCGTCTGCCCAGTGGATGCTCATGTGGCGGCCTGACCGATGAGCACAGTGCCAGCAAGGCCACACATCCGACAACTGCGCTCACGGTGCTCACACCCACCTGCGAAAACGCTTCCTTCATGCACCTCCCCAGCCAACTGGAGACGCACCTCCGACAGCTGCAGTCGATGTCTGGGCCGCTTTTACGTTGGGGTGTTTAAGCACGTAAGTGTACTCATTCTACTGCATGTTGAAAGAAATCCGCATCCCGGCAAGTTTCTCTCAAGGTAGCGTGCAATTGGGAAGATGCACTGGCTTGCCATCAGCATGGGCAAAGCAAGGCCCTGAGATCAGAAGGCTCGACCCCTTTTCAACCCGATGTCAGTGCCACGGCGAGATTGCAACGCCTGATGCCTTTCCTCTTCTTCTCAGTAGGATGTTGCAGTAGCTCTCTGATCGGATTTAGGACATCAGTTGGGAATCGATGCGCTCGGAGGAAAGCCAGTTGCGTGCGGAAGTGACATTTTGTGCTCGGCTTGGGGGTGCGCAACACGACGAAGTCGTTCATGGAATCTTCCGCTGACGCGTGCTCAATTGTGAGCTTGCTTACAGGGATGGTGTTTTCGTACAGCCAGAAGAGAAAGAATTGTAGCACACTGAAATATATTGCCGTGATTTGCGGGTGAGGTATTGTAATGTGTAGGTGAATATTTGATTCTAGAGGCGCATACCTATCTATATGTTCCTACTAAAAACACAAAGATGATGTACACAAGCGTGTTGCTATGGACTACTTCTGGTGCTCATGGTGAAGCTTGTTTGCCCGGTCGATTTCTGCCAAGAAGGCGGACAGCAACTGGGCAGCACGCCAATCATCTTGGACGAGCGTGGGAAGTATTTACAAGCGTGTGTGTGCCGCAAACATCTGCAAAGACTCGAAAAAACAGGTTCTTCTGAAAGAACACAAAATGACAGTCTCCTCCCAGCTGACCCCGTGAAAGATATGCGCATGGGCTTGGTGAGGTGTGTGGTCTTGGAATGGTGGGGAGAAACAGCGAACGAGAGTTGCTCGTACTATCACATGATTCCGCTATCCCACTGCTCTCTCACTGCCTGGCTTTTGGACTTTCAGGTGTGGGCCAAGAAGTGGTATCCTTATGGCACTCACAGCGCCATGCTGCGATTAGTGCAGCAACAGCAGGCAAAGGACACGGGGACAGCTCGTGACCATAGTGGCCATCAACACCGACTAGAACAGGGAAAGATTCAGAGACCCTGGATGGCTCCACAAGTCAATGTTGAGGACGTCAGCCGGGTGGTTGTTCGCCCAGTTTGCGTGGGTTGGGAGTGGCTGGGAGTGGCTGGGTGGCGGGTCTCGTTTGTTGGGTTTGGTCTTATGTCGGTCGGTGCTCCGCAGTGGCTCTCTCTCTGCTCCGCGGTGGCTGGAATTGGTTATCTTCTTTGCTGTCGGTGCCGACACGTGTCTACAGTTTTGAGCTTCCCCCTCTCATTTCCCGTCACTAATTTCCCCTCAAGCATCCTCAAGCAACACATGAGACACGTGTGAGAGCGAAAGAAAGGCAAAGGGCGAGCGCGTCCCATCAGACGACAGTGGTGTAACAATGGACTTGACGCGCGCCAGCAGTCGGGTGGGAGCGGCCGGGAACCGCTCCAAACCCGACTGGCGAAGAAGGTTGAGGAGGGCGTTTCAGGAACAAACCTGAGAGAGCCAGTAAAGAAGTAAGGCCCTGCATGCGGTTATTATATTTCGAGTAGGGATGTTTGTTTCTCGATTTTTTTCTCGAAAGATTTGTGCTGGGTGGCAGGGTAGACCAAGAACATTTTTCCAGTATTTGTTTGTGGATGGCCGGACTGACAGCGCATCAAGGTTTCGTCTGAGTCTAGGGTGAAATCAGTACTAAAGCAGTGGGCAAAGACTATCAAAGATTTTGACAAAGAAAGTCTGGAACCAGCATCCCCCCCTTCTTCTTTCGTGAGGGAGCTGCCACATTTGGAATCCAAGACCGTGGGAGCCTGCGGAGTGTTATCCCTGACAGACTCCCAGCAGCAAGCATACTCTCCGTGAAACGACTTCGGAACTTCAGAACACATCTCAAAAACGGCTCATCCTTAACAAGCTGCCGGTAATGACACACCAAAATTGCCAATCATCACGAATCTATCCTGGGAACAAGGTCTGCCTGGAAAGCAGTGGAGCTAAAGTCGGCTACGGGGTAATCAGGCAGTTTTTTCTCACATGCTCCAAAACTCCACATGCCTGCACCAGGAAAGTTCCATCCTTAACAAGCCGCCAACACCACAACAAAAAACAGTCCCCAAACAAAATCTTGACTGAGAACTGAAAACCACCAATCATGAAATAGAATTGCTAAATCTCTTTGAAGCATTTACACCCAGAAAACACAAACCTCGTAATGACATGCCATACACATCTGCAGGCCTGAGAATGATGATTTACCGTGTCTCCAGCATTGTTTAACTTAGAGCCGCAAAAAGGAAAATGATGCAGAATTCGACCGAATCCCAAATGACTGCGCCGGGAGTTGTTCAATCATTTAACACTTACCCTAAAAAATGTAGTCGGCCTGAAGCATGAAAGTTAGCACGTGTGCTGCCATGTCTGGGGTGTATTCGCCTGAGCTGATTCTTGAGAAGCTTAAATTTCGGCCAAGTGTTTCAGCGACAACGCCCATGGCAACGCCAAGCCGAAGACCAGTCAAGAGTCAAGAGACAAGCCAGGCATGTTTCGGAGAGTGCATTTGTCGCATGTCCATGATCACGGTGAGCTGATTTTGGTAGGCAACTGGCAGCCAAACCGAAACCAAGCAAGCAATCTTTCGAAATCTGCCCAGCTGGCCATGTGAGCAAGTTGTAAGTGTCGGGATTCGGGACTGCGTGGTTTGAAAAGGCGGTTGTTCGTTGAACAACCAGGCCCAAGCACGAGCAAGAGCGAGCCCGCAAAATTATGGAGCAAGAAAGAACGCATCTTGCACTTGCACATGCTAAAAGATGAAACGGTGGCTTTGAAGCGCCTCAGGTGTCACATCAAGAAGCGGGTCCGACTATGCTTCACAACTCTTGGGCTTGCGCGACACGATCTCGCGTGTGTATGGGCTTGACCACGACGCCATGCGCCCGCCTTGTTGGGCCCTGCCTCTTCGACCAGACTCTCATCACCTCGGAAGGCCTCGCCCCATCGCAAGCGGCCTTGCAGATGATGCTCAAATCTGGGCAAGTTTGTTGTGTATGCGAGCGCTAGCTTCGGGCTTTTCGAGAGCACGCCCATGAAGAAGCCATCCTGACCCAGCAGCTGCTTTCGCTTACCTCCTCACCTTCACAGCCTTCTCACGCAGCGAAGCTGCGTGGCCTGGCGAACCCACTTGCCTTGGAGCTGATCCTGATGAGGTAGGCTGCAAACGAAACAGCTTGCACAGTACCCTCCTTCTCGCCCTGGAACAATTTGGAATTGGTTGTTAGAACAGACACCCCCCTCCTAATCCTCCCAAAACCAAAAGCACCCTGTTTTTCTCCCTGGAAGGGGTCGATCGGGATCTGAAAGCGGACGGTTTGCCGGGACTAGGGGGCAGTTCCCGCTCTTATATTGGGGTCACCGCCCAAAACCGCTTCCTCACCCCCTACTCCCCAGCCCCCCCACCCTCACCTTTTCCCTCCCCCACACCCTGCCCCCGACCCCCCAAGCCCCCCCTCCACCTTCGTCTTCCAGTTTACTCAACACGCATCCAGAACTTTAAACCCCAAAGCCTGGAACCCCTGACCCCAGAACTCGTATAGGCGCGACTATGGAATCCAAATGTCGAGGCCCCCCTCCTACACACTCATGTAGCAGCTTTGGGAGATGCTATGAGTCAGATCGAGCATGGTGCTTCAGCGGCTGCAACTGGCCATCAGCCAGCAAGAGCCCCCTCTCACAGCATACGCTCGTTCAACGTCCCTGGTTCAAAACCATTCGACGCTACGGTCATGTCTAAGCGCCCATCCAGAAGCGTGCCAGTTGCAGTGGCCGCACGGGTAACTATGAGGTCCTCCTCATCAGAACAAACACTGGAGTGCTTCATGAATGGCTCATTCAAGTGCTTGTGCGTGTCCTCGCTGAACACCACATCTTCGGTCCCCTGGAGAGGTGTATTTGTGTAGTCTTAGGTGTCGTGAATCCAACACAAGAGAATGGTGGGCGTTGCAGGGAACTCTTGATGACCGTATCACTGGACTGTAGTGTTCTATGTGGCAGGTCCCGTATGGCCGGCTTTCGACGACAGAAGGATTGGAGGCAGATTTGGGCGCTGCAGGTGCTGCGGAGCTTGCGGCTCTTGTCTCTGACGTTCTCAACTGACCTCACTGCGTGTCTGGATCGGTACGTGGAGTTTGGGTACTCGTGCTCTGGACGAAGCCCTGCCTCCCGACCAGCCCCGCCCCCCGCCAGCTGCAAGGCGAACCAGTCCCCGGGGCACTGGGGGGTGAGGGCGTGGTCGGGCTGCTGTGGGGGTGCTCGACTGGTCGGTGCACCAAAAAAGTTTGTTGTGGTCAAATCATCTAAGCCTGCCCAGACATGAAAGATTCGCACCTCTTGCCGATTTCAACAATCTTGGTCATGTCCTGGCCCTAAGCCTTCCCAGACATATTTGGAGAGTTCGGATTGGTTCGTCATACAAGGCACCTCTTGCCACACTGATTTGGCCATGTGTGTTCGGGCCCTGGAGTTGCAAAAGTAGTCTAAATTAAGCCTTGAGATGGAAAACGAAAACAACTTTGAGGGCAGTCTGGGGCATCACAATAATCCAAGGAACCAAAAGTCTCAACACTGCAGAACCATTGCTTTAGAAAACTATCCAACCAGAATGCCGTCGATTGTTCACGAGAAAACGAACAGACAGATTCAAAACGAAATGGCGACTAAATTGCAGTATAACTTCAAGAGTCTTCTTGGAGTTTTGCTGACCCATGCACTGTCAGAGAACAGCGGCATGGTACCCAAATTCCTGGGGTCAAGACCCCCCAACTCCAAGCTGCCCACTGTTGGGGCAAAGTTTCGCCTCCACGGCAAAGAGGCTCTCCGACCCCGATGCTTCTCAAGGAAAATGCTGAAAGCTGGGCAAAACTGATTGCTGTCTTGCAGTCTCGCCTGTGTCGGAGCACCGGCTGCAAACGGCAGTGCCCATTGGCCACCTAAACCCTCTGTGACTTTAACTCCCCGAAGTGACCTACATCTCTTCATCTCTTCACAAGGATGCCATGTTGCTGGCCTAGCAACACAGCCTGACAAGTTTGCATGCTATTTGTTTCCCATGCCGTGGCTATATCTAAGCTACAGGGAGCTCTGTTCGGACCTGCGGCAAGGACGTGAATCGTTGAGCACAATGTGCCTCCTCAAACAAGTCTGCACAATATGTGAAGACATGAAAGGGTGCCGTCTCTTGTACGTGACAGGAATGCTCAGGCATGTCCGAGAATTCGACGTGACTATTGCACTTCGAAGTGAAACATGGAGGTGACCGCGTGCAACCGCCTGCAACCTTCCTCACCTCCCACATCCTCTCACAGCAGAGCGCACCAAGCAGAGCCTGGTTTCCTTAGGGGAAAGAAAAAGCTGGAATGATGCCGTCATCCTTCTCGTAAAAGCAGCTGTGTGCCCTGACGACATCTTTGTCCAGCTTGCAGGGATGCCGGTGGGCGCCTCCCAGGCAACTTCATGACTGGAAAACTGAGTGTGTTTCGGGTACCCTTTCAAATACAACGAACAGTCGCAATAATACATCTCTTCGCAGCTGTGCTTGCCGCCACAGCCTGGCAAGGCTCACGGAAGTACCTTCCAGGCAATGCACCCACGCCATAAGCCATCATCTGCAATGAAGAGGTCCATGTACGCATGCGTAGGTAATCACAGCACGTCGCGACGGTGCTGGCACACGACTTTGTGACAGCAAGGTTCCCCTCCATCAGACGTTGCTTCGATTAAAGGACGAGGAATCCTTTTTTGGCGTTTGGTCTGGGGCCTGTCAGTACATACAAAGAAACAAAGGTTTTGCTACTAAAATACAGAAGACATAGAGGTTTGTCGATTAAAAGACAGAGGAAACAGAGGTTTTCCTATGAAAATACAAAGGCAATAAAAATAAAGGTTTCTGACTAAAATCAAGAGGAAATAGATCTGTTCCAAATAAATTTACATCACCGAAGCCCCCAAACAGTCGAAGGCGTGTCGAAGAAACAGTGGAGACAATGGGAGACAAAGGGAGACGAAGGGAGACAAAAGGAGCACAGCAACCCGGCAAAGCCACGCACATGAAGGGAGACAAAGGGAGACAAAGGGAGACAAGGAGCCCAGGAACCCGGCAACAGTCCTCAGAATGTCCGCAATCCATAAATGAAGTTTTTGAGCAACGGACTTTGGAGGCTGCCGGCAAACATGCAACTAAGAACATAAATGAAGTTAGAACCCCAACGGTAGACTGTTTGGGGAATAAAACACAAGCAAGCGAGGCGTTCGGGGGGACCCCCCCTTTGGAAACACGATGCTCGCATGACAGGTTTGGAAAGGTCCTCGTAGGGCAGTGTCTTCGCTTGCAAGGCTTCAAAAGAAAGAAAAGGGGGGTTCTCCCCCCCATTTGCAAACACAATGCTCGCATGACTGGTTGAAAATTGAATTCGCACGGTTTCTTAACGCAAGTCAACTCTTAATGGCATGATCTTCCTATCAAGCATGCTTGCAGGACATGAAGTTTGTGTTTCTATTTGAATATGCATGTGTATATATATATATATATGTGCATATGCATACATATATATATATATATGCATATGCATACATATATATATGTATATGTATATATTTCGTATTGCAGTGAGCATTTGCTTACTTCGTTTCTTTCTGTGTGTGTTGTCTTTATCTTTGTCTTTCCTTCCTTCCTTCCGTCCGTCGTTGTAACCTCTATTTAGCTAGTTTGTTGGAGAGGGAATGGCTTTGTACCACAACGCTGAAAGGAAGCCGCGCCGGAAGGATTCAGGCTGGCAGAAGCACATGCTGCAAAACGTCAGCATGAAGCTTCGTCGGGGCACGCCCTCGTCATCAGCGCCAGGATTTGCTGGAGCTGCCCGGCCGAGGGTGCAGTACCCCATCTCGGAGAGGAACACACCATTTAAACATGTACAAACAGGCACAAACATGTCCACTGCAATCCGTGTCTGCGGATTCACCATGCCGGCACGTTCACCAAAAATCTGATGCCCCACTGCTGGCAACAACAAGTCATAGTCAGTCAGCCACTGACATTTGTGGGAAAGATGGTATTGCAAGCTACTGTATTCGGGCGCTTGCATCAGTCCTGGATGCGATGCTATCATCCCGGTAGAACCCTTTCATGCGACCAGCCAAGCAGACAAGCCACACTGCAGGGTCACAACTTCGGGATACGAGCGAAACTCTTGAAACACCCAAGCAGCTGCAGCACACTGTACCATGCCATCTGGGTGCAGCACGTCAGAACTTGCCCGAGGCCGCTCAAAATGCCAATGGTAGGCTGGTCTCCACTTGTGGACCTGGGGCTTAAGCCTCAATCAATCTTAAGCTACAGCCTCAAACGCATGAAGCCTTCTTGTTGTGCTATCCAGGGTATTCCGTTTTGTCGGCTGTCCCGGTATGTCATGCAATTGCTTTGAGTCCATGACAGGACTCGGATTTGGGCTTGAGTCAGATGTAGGCTCCAGTGAGAGTCCAATAAAGTGAGGAATTTCTGCCATTTGTTTTGGGAGCCAGTGCGCAAAAACAGAAACAAGATGAGTCACTGTGTCTGCCAGGTCTTCGACTTTGGTTTGTATTGCTTTTGGCAAGGGAGTTGGGCCATCCTCCCTCAATCCTGAGGTTTCCATCTGGGCCCGCTGCAGTGACCGCAGCATGACTTTGTCAAACAGATCTGACTCCGCCTGCCAAGGAACGAAGCGTGGAAGGCAACAGTTCAGCTCTTCGTAGTTTTTTCATAATTCTTCCCTCTCCTTCGGCTCTGCCCGCGTCAGGACTACCTGGCAAAAGCTGACATGAGCTGACAAGGAGGTGCATTTTACAAGAGAACTGAAGTGGCAGGGCGCGCCAGCACATTCCCATGTGTCTGCCTGTAGGCACACCCCAGCACCTGGTGCGTTGTGATACGTGGTCTGACTGTATTGTGTTGTGCTTTGTTGTGCACGGTGCCGTCAGCTGATTGCTGATGCTCATTCCAAGATTCCATTCAACTCACGGGTTTCCTTCGTGCGACATTGGTTCTCAAAGGCCGCGAGCAGCTCTCTACCTTCTGAGGCGCAGCATCGTGGTAAAAGCCGTTGCGGTCTGTGAGCAAAGCACGGCCTCAAGCCAAAACTACATGCGGCAAAACTACTTACAGTAATCCATATGTAACCACAGGATGCCGCGTGCCTTCATTGCGGTGAACGACCACCACAAGATCTGGCCTTGTGTGGGGGTCTCCTTCTGTACCCTGGTCTGAGACACTTCCGCTCATCTCTCTTGTGTTTTCCCAGCAGCATGAGAGACCTAGCATGCGCAGGATCCATGTGTCCATATCTTGTGAGATCGGGGACGGTGTGGCGGGCTTCTCTGAAGTGCAGGGCAAACTCGGGGCCGTGTGGGCAGCTCGTCTGAAGTCTGAAACATGGATTCTGCAACTCCAATCACCACAACCCTGGCTTTGGACAAGCTGCTTTCCAGGCAAGGAGGCAAATCCGCGGAGCTCTGCCTTTTGTAGCAGTCGCTCCTGCACCTGGACACTGTCAGCTTACGACGCCACAGACCCCAAGAAAGTGCGAGAAAATGACTTGGACTGGCTGCTTGCTTTTGGCAATTTCTGCTTTGACATGTTTTCTTTTTTTGGGGGGAGGCCTTCCATGGAATTACCGCTTATCACTCTGTGGAGGTTTTCGGTGCGCGGACTGTCTGGCTTCCTGTGGCCGCATGGCAAAACCTTAACTTATCCCACCCGCGGACCTCGGGACCCGCGATGGACCCCAAGACCAAGACCATCTGCACCGGGGGAGGCTGAGGTGGTGTGCGCTAGCGTCATTTGACAGGAGACCTCTGCGTCCTTTTTTCTTTGCATATGAAACCCCTACTATATACCCCCATATTCGCACAGGAATCTGTCCTTGAAGCGTGAATAAGGAGGCTGTATTTCTCCTAACTTAGTGAAGGATGACTTCTGCAAAACGTATATGTTTCCTCCAACGGCATGTACATGCGCCTCCATTTCCTCCATATGCTGGCCGGAAACTACTTCCTGTCTTCGATTTTCAGAAGAAAACCTCTACTTCCTCCGCTGTCAAAGATGCAAGCTTCTGTTTCCTCTATAGTTGTTGTCCAAAATTGTCTATGTTTCATTGGGAATACCTGGACTTCAGTAGCGAGCCCTCCGTTGCTTCTAAGCTTTGTATTCTCGGCTCTTTGAAGCACCAACCTTAATTCCTGTATACCTGAACAAGTAAACATGCTTTTCCTTTTGCCTGTTTAAGATTTATAGATGCTGTTTCAATTCAAACCCAGTTTTCGACTTTTCGGGGTTTTTGGGCGCTCTCCGTTTGCAGCCGCGTTCGCAATCACGGTGGGCTGCTCCGGAGGTTCCACTGAGGTATGCATAATGAACTATAGAAATGTTGCAGTTCGGTCGTTTTGCTCTTGCAGTCCTTCTTTCGAGCCTTCCACTTGGTAAATCAACCCCCCCCCCCCCCCCCAACAAAAAGGTAGACACATGAATAGGGGCCAGGAGATGGAAGAGAATTTAAAGACAGAAAGCTGACGACGAGGAGTCGTGTCAGTTTCCCAAGTGGCCACCCTTAGATGAACACACTGACAGACAAGCTGTGACCGCCAATTCTGAGCCCTTCACGCTACTGTACGGAAAAATGTCCGAGAGCACAGGACCTTGCTGCAAAACAGTGCTTGGTGTCAGCCATCGAATATGCGGAATTCTGCACATTGCTCCAGGCACACCACTCAGGTCGTTGATCTCCTGCAGCTTTAAGCTGCAGACCTGGACTTGCCCATGACTCAGCAAGTGCTTTGTGTCTAGCAATGTCAAGCCCTCTACAAGCCGTTTTGCGCTGGCCAATTCGAATCTTTTCAAGTCGCGACTTGATGCTGACCCCTCATTACCTCCCTAAATCTTGGCGGCGCCAC